ACATGGGATTCTGGAGAAAATCAATTTGAGTGGAACCAAAAAAAAAAAATTAGAAAAGGATTGAGGATGAGCCAGTTGTGGACAATGTGTTAAACTGAGCTGCAGGATGTTTGAGTATCAGGTTTACTGTGGCTAATATGTCACCAAGAATTGTTTTTGGTTAGTCTGAGTGAACGTTGATTTACAATTTGGCAATAGAGACTCACTGACTGTTGCTGTGATGTTTTTCCACTTTAGGTGACGAGAAATTAAAACACAAACTGAGCTACCTGAGAGGTGCCACAAATACAGTCGTACTGTCCATTCTACTCTGGATATTTTGAAATACTGAGACGTTCTGCTCCGTTTGCACTTACACATGAAACAGACTTTTTACAAAGAGATTTATTCAGATAAAAATAAATGGAATTTTAGGCAAAACATTCTGAATTTGTCTGGCAATTTTTTTTTTTTTTTTACTTAAATGTTTGACTCTTTTAGTCCAGTTCAGAGGTCTGCAACCTATGGCTCTGGGGCCAGGTCAGGGGTCTGCAACCAGTGGTTCAGGGGCCACATGCGGCTCGTTAGTCCCTCATCTGCAGCTCTATGAAGCTTTGACCAAAACTTACAGGAAATGGACTTGTTCTGGTTTTAATACCCACAACAAAACAGGCTAGTTTTGGCTGTTTTTTTGTCAATTTTCTGCAAACGTTTGAGCAAAACTACTAGTTCATCACTTCAAAGTGGGATTCTTAATTTCTCCTCACATAAAAGGCCACATCGGCCTGCAGAGTTCAGTGTTTTCATTTTCATCTAAATATATGATTTAGAAGGTTTTACTTCTTTACATCATTTTTTTGTCCCAAAAAAAGTAAAAATATCAATAAATATTGGAATTTATTAATGATTACTAGTTTTAAAATGTCACCCCCACTGGTCAGAAAAGCTCCCTCCAACTAACTCAGTGGCCCATGGGCCACCAGTTGATCATCACAGTTGTAGCAGGTTTAGTGGCTCCAGGCTCTTTTCTTATATTTCATGAGTGAAGAAGCAGAAATTGCTCTTTGATCCCTGGTCCAGTTCCACCGCTCGTCTAAACAATTTTTTTTGTTGAGCAGCCTTCTCACAGTGCATGCTTATTTTGTCCTTTACTCATGCCCTCTAATTACTATAGCACAAGTGTCAGCACAAGAATAAGCCGTTTAAAATCAACGGAAGCAGCCTCAATAAGTAAATTAAAAACTAAACTTCAATGGTAAAAAGGTGCTGGGACATTCCAAGTTGTTGCGCTTTCATTAATTGCTGTTCAGTAGGTGTTGTGTTGAAAATAACACCTCGACTGGAAAACAGCTTGACGTGTCTTGACTTGACAATCACATTATTTTCTCATATTCATTAATTTTAGAGTTTGAACATTAGAAACAATCACCGCCATCCATAACTTAGAGACTAACAGATTTTGAGACTCGGTGATGTCGGAGCCACTCATACATCATTACTGTGCTCTAGAAACTAAAACAACCATGGACGTTTGTCCTTATCAACAAGTTGGTGGTTATTTGCTCACAGCTGTCTTGTTCTGTCCGAGTCTTATTAATGTTGTCAACGTGTGTGCAAAAATATGTTAAAAACTCAGGAAATTGCCATCAGTGTCAAAGAAAAGGAACATGGAAATCCATTGGTATAGTTCAATTTGTCCAGATGTGATTAATGTGGACGTTCTCACCATCTAGTGGCACATCATGATTATTTTGAACTGTTTTGCTAGAATAAAAGATTTTTCTTTAAAAATGGAGATAAACCAGATTAGTGCAGACTGGACCATCACAAACACTTGTGAGAACTTCATATTTATTTCATGTATGGTTTATTACTTGAGCTCCTGAATATATTTAAAAAGTGCATTTTCACATAAAGTTTTAGTTTTGATTTATTTAGCATGTTTTGGTGAGAAGTTCTAGATTAGTTAATGATACACATTTTTTGCGTATATGTACAACTTCTTTCTCATTTTATTGAAAAATATTTTACCACCTACAGACATGTATATTCAAAAAAATGGCCCTTAAGATAAATTCTTACGATCAGTAATAAAGCTTGTGCATAAACAGCCCTCAAACTTGCAAAAATGTCACCACCACACTTTTAAAACATAAATGGCACAAAAAAGTGTAAATATTGGTGCATTAATTTTTCATGTACATATATAAAAGTACATATAAATAAATAAATACATTTTTCATTGGAGTTGGTGGATTTTCTGTAATTCTACCAGAACAATCGCTTCCAAACTATAAATCTATTTTAACTTAATGTGAACTTATATTCACACTAATTTACTCAGTCAATAAAAAGAATAGCTGGAAGTCAGAAGAAAAATAAATACTCCAAATATTCTTAATTTGCTATATTTCAGACGAGACTGCTTAAGAAATAACTTTGCAGTTTCAGACTCTGATAAGTTAAAATCATTTTCTCGTTTTCAGCTACATTTAAGTTATTCTTAATAGGTGCTATGCTTCAAGACATCAGCATAAAAGCAGCTAAAGTGACTCAGACATTTGGGTGTCAAACGTTTGGAGGGCGCAACCTTGTCAGCCAAGACGGACACACCTCACATCAATCAGTGCAAAGCCTCGGGGGAAAAGCCCAACATGTCTGACCGCTTTAGACAGGTTTTAGCAGAAATCTGCCCTTTAGTGCAGCTTTATCCTCACTGGACAGATAAAGCCTGCTAATGTCCCATGGTGTCTACAGAACAAATGTGCATTGATCTCAGTGTGCTTTGTCTGTGGGCTGTACAGAACAACTGTGTGTGTATTTTATGCATTTTTTATTTTTTTTAAACTAGCAGCAGTGTCACGGAGGCAATGTATTTGATTGTGTTTTGGTGGAAAATGTTACAAACACCACCAGCTAGCAGCAGAATGAATAGATCTGAAAAGTGTCACTGTGGCCCTGAAACTTATTAATGCACGATGAGGCAAATAAATAAATAAATAAATAAAATCAACTAAAAAATACTTAGGATGAGTAAAAAGAAACCATATGGACCATATGGTGGACAGATTTTTTTTACTTTATAACTCTTTTATTGACTTTTTGTGAAGGCAGCTGTTGAGACAGCACTGAGTCCAAACAAAATTCCCCAGCGGGACAGTGACGTACATTGTATTGAATCATTTGTATTGTACCATATGTAGTATGTAGGTGTGCATTTTATTGCATTGCATTTATGGTATCACATTGTATTGTATAGGGAAGGGCATTATAAACAAAAAATTGTCAGTAATCTTTAAAATTTTCTTGAAATGTTTAACACCTCCTACCTACCAGCCACCATACCGTACATAGGCCAACTTGCAGCAACAGACCTTACAACACATGCTTATTTTTTCCTTTTCACATGGAGGGCTAATTGATACAACACAGCAAATATTAGCACAGCAAGAACCTGTTTAAAAGCAGAGAAAGCAGTTTAAATGAGCACGAATCTCAGCAACCGCATTGTGTTTCCACTTTTTCATCCTTTAAAAACTAAATATGAAGGCAGAAAACTTCTGAGGACGCCCTGAACTGTTTCATTTTTATTTGTTTTTCTTAGGCGGTAGGTGTTGTTAAAAAAAAAGAAATTAAAAAAAGAAAAGAAAAGCACACCCACTGCAAAATTACTGCTAAGAAACAACATGGGGAGTCACTACCAGGTGCCAATTAAAAAACAACTGTTACATTATTTTTTCAGATTTGTCCATTTTAAGTAGACTTGAAATAATAATTTAAAAATAAATACCCATCCCTAGCTTTGTACTGTATTAATTTGCAATGTACTGTGTCATATTACATTGTATTGTTCTGTACCACATTGTACTACTGTATATTGAAATGTGCTGTATTGTTTTGTATCAAATTATATTGTGCTGTGTTGTACTGTATCGTACTGTATCATATATTTTTGTCCTCTCTATCTCTCTCTGTTTCTTAAAATTTTAGAAAACTAAAGGGTTAAAGACATTTTTTTGTTACATTCATTATATTCAGCTAAATAATGGCTAACGGTAAGTCATCAAGGACCATTAATAGTTAACAGAGGACTATCTCCTAATAGGAGAAATTTCCTCATTCTAACAATGGAAGTGGGATTACTAGATTAATGACACCTCGATGCTACGCCAAGTCCAGGTTATGTTTTCTTGTGCCTTGGATTTTTTGCAAAGCTACAACAGTCAAGTTTACCTTGAATAAATATTTCACCAACAATAAGCAGAAATCCTATTTGTCCTACTACAATCTGGGAGACTGGAGGTGGTGTCTTTTATTCTGAGCATTGGCTTGTTTGTGACATACAGTATGCTACTTGAGCTTGGCATACATGAGGATAGTTTCAGAGTTGTTCATGTCATGAGAGTCACCTGGAACATGCCTTTGCGATACCTCTGTGTATTAAAGACTTGAGAGACTGTCACAACTGTGGGCAGTAGATACATTGCTTGTGGGTCTGTGTGAGTGAATCACTCCTTTAAGGTGAGATGTGCAGTGGTCTGGTTGAATCTGTTTCCTGGAAATATCTCCCAACAGACAGATATAGCAGTTCAATTTATGAGCAGAGTATAACCGGGAATATCCATGGCTGAACCATATTTAATGCTTCATCAAGGCCAGCTTGTTGTTTGTTGGTGTATATGATGCAAATGTTGGATTATAATCATTGGTCGATGGTGGTAATATTCCATCATCAGTCACCCACAGTAAATGTCTTTTTTGCATAAAGGAAACAATCAGCATTTATTTGATGCTGCTGGCTGCTTTATGAATACTGTTGTTGAACAGAGGCGGCTTTGTGATTTTTCTGCCAAGAACCTGACTTGCAAGCCAACCACTTTATTATCACTGACGACTGGATAAACTGTCACTTGTGCTCTCTGGGCGAGTTGACATTTTTCAAGCCTTAACGAGTCCCATACGAGCAAAGCTAGTTGCCACAGAGACAAAGCATTAATGCGCTCCCAGAGGATTGAGGGTTGGGGGATGCTGGTGGATTCAGGAAGAGATACAGATGGGCTTCCCATTTTTGTCATACTGGTACACGAACATCTTGATGCAGTGGGAGTTGGCTGGTGAAATCCATGGACTGCTTGTGATGGAGAAATTGTGGCTGGCATAAAATGGTTGCGACTGCTTCCGGCAGTGGACCAGTGCTCGCAGCACATTGGCTGCCATGCCTCGGAAACGCTTGCTTATGAAGCAGTATAGAAAGAAGTTGACGCCAGTGTTGAGCAGTGCAAGCATATTTGCTATGTCGGTGAGCATGTGGAGCAGACGGACAGCACTTTGTGAAGCCGGTGGAGGTGAGTAGAAGTGGTAGAGGATCATGAGGGTGCGTGGTGCCCATAAAACTGCAAAAACTGACGTGATGGCGAGAAGAATGGCGGTGGTCTTTCCAGTCGAATATCCACGCAGTCTGAAGCAGTTACGACGCTTGCGAAGTTTCTGCACAATGACTGTGTTCAGGGAAAAGAAAACTGTGCAGGGCAGGAAGTAGACTGTGGCACAGTGTACCCACACAAGGACATGCTGGGCCACAGTTCTTCTGTTGCTCTCTCCGCCGCCTCCTTCATCAGCATTTCCAACACCAGGTAGGCTATGCCAGAGCTCAGGCCACCAATAATAAGGTGCTGCAGAGAGCAAACACCCAATATACACAGCAAATATCACCTTGCGCGTTCTGGCTGGGTAGGAGACGGTGTGGTAGCGAAGAGGGTGGCAAACAGCGATGTAGCGGTCAATGGTGAGAGGCACTGTTATCCAGATGGAGGTGTGGATGGAGGAGAACTCCAGGACTTGCACAGTGCTGTTTAACAATGGTGGCAGCGATGAAGTCAAAATAAAATCTTCTAAAATGAAGTCAACAAAAACAATGAGGAGCAGAACTAGAATGTCGGCGGCAGCCAGAGCCAAGAGATAGTTGTAGGAGGACTTCTGACGACGCAGCACCAGCTGGGACAGGATAACCACTGTCAGGATGTTAGCTGGAAGAGGGAAGAATGCGAGAAGAAGATTGAAAAGTAGATTGTCATAGAAAATGAGGAAAATGAGAGGAAAGTAAGAAAAAATGGGCAGAGGTTAGGGCAGGGAGGGAAACAGAGAGATTGAACGTTAGTGGACTCTGGTGATTGAACCAGCCAGCATTAAATCAGAAAATAACACAAAAGCAGTTCACAGCAACAAACATACTGTAGACAAAAAGATGTAGCGCAAGCTCCAAACACGAAACATGCAGAAATAAATTACACACCAAAAGATGCTAAGTTGGACCGAATTTTATCTGTGAGCAACAGTTAAAGAGCATGCAAGATGAACACTGTACACAAAGAAGCAAATAAAATTCAGTTCTGTCATTGTTCCCTTAACAATCCTTTCACTGCTCATTGCTCTTCTCTTTTTGTTGACACCCGCTGTGTAATTCCAGCTGCACCTGCTTCTCTCCCTTTGGCCAAATTGTTATCTCGAATCAACAGTAAGGCCACAACAAAAACACGAGGGCAACATGCAGCATCACAGCCTTGGCTCTCCTGTCCGCCGCCCTGTCACCAGCGATTTAAGCATATCCTGTCTCTTCCTGTCTGCTTCTGTCAGCCATCACCCCAATATGCATCATAACGCATGTCATTAATTCTGACAAATAAATATTCACTCCATTTTTTTAATAAAAAAAAAAGTAAATACCCATGGAGCTGACATATTTTTTTTGCTTAAAAGAATGAAAACATGAAAACAAAGATCTGCATGTGATTTATCCAGTTGTGTAACTACGGTAGATACATTTTTGCATCTGCAAGGAAGGAAAACATTTCTCATTACTATTAATCACTGATGAGTTAAAAGCGTTAATTCACAAAACTGTTCCAAAATTACTCTTGCAAATTAGGTAAATTTCAAATTTCAGCATTTCACACTGTAAATCATTAAATGAGATGGATTATTTTTCACAAAGTGGCTGATGGCTAGGAAAGTAAATAATCTATATACAGTATGTCTAGAATACAAGTTTCTAATAAACCCATTTGGACCAAAGATAAAGTAAACCAAACACATTTAGAGAACTCACACTTAGTACAGATCAGACATGATGGGTTGGTTCAAATGAAGGAAACCCGCAAAGCAGAAAAAAATGATTTCAGTTATGATAAGCAACATCAGTGGGTTATCAGTAAAATCTTGTCTACTGTCTCTGAAAGATGTTGCAAATGGAAACTCAAAATATTTCCATTTACTTGAACGTTAAAATACAAGATTTCCATTACGTTTAAAAAACTAAATGATGGCGCACTTATGGGTGGGGGTGGGTGGGGGGGGGTCCTCTTCAGCACAACTTCCACTGTGACATAACTAATTCAACCTTTATTTATACTAGTTAGTTTCATTGAGTCACGAGGACTCATTTACAAGAGAGACCTGTTTTAAACAAAGAACACAGATGAGGTACACACAACAATAAAACAATCATATAAAAGCATCCATCCATCCATCCATCCATCCATCCACTATCTTTACCCGCTTCTTTCTTTTTGGGTCTTGGGGGTCACTGGTGCACATGTCCAGCTATCACTGTGCAAGAGGTGGGGTACACCTTGGACAGGTCTCCAGTCCACAAACGAGATAAACAACCATTCACTCTCTCACTCACACCGGGACAATTTAAAGCTACCAATCAGTCTAATGCATGTTTTTGGTCTGTGGGAGGAAACAAGAATGCCTGGAGAAAACCCCTCGCATGCATGGAGAGAACATGCAAACACCACCAAGAAAATACCCCATCCATCCATTATCTTTACCCGTTTATTCCATTTTGGGTCACGGGGGTCACTGGTGCCCATGTCCAGCAATCACTGTGCGAGAGGCGGGGTACACCCTGGACGGGTCGCAAGTTCATCACAGGGCCACATAGAGACAAACGAGACAAACAACCATTCACTCTCTCACTCACGCCTAGGGACAATTTAGAGTTACCAATCAGCCTAACATGCATGTTTTTGGTCTATGGGAGGAAACCGGAGTACCCGGAGAAAACCCACGCATGCACGGAGAGAACATGCAAACTCCACCCAGAAGGCCCCTGGACCGGGGTTTGAACCAGGGACCTGTTCGCTGAGAGGCAGCAGCTCTACCACTTGTGCCACCATGCTGCCCAGAAAATACCCCAATTATATAAAATTAAATAAAAGAAGTGATATAAAATGAAATAAAAAAATATGTGACATTGTAAAATGGGGTAACATACTAAAAACTGGAACATGTCTGAATTGATTTTTGCATTGAACTTATCAGTTGTTTAAAATCCCTTAGAGAGGTCCATGTTGACAACTTCAGATCTTTTTGCAAGGTGTTCCAGATTACAGGAGTGCAGTTAAAGAAGGTCCTTTTGACAAATTCAGTCCACACTGAGGGGACGCTGCAGGTCTTGAGAGTGCACACTGTAGCTACATTGACAAAGTGACATGTAGGAGGAGATACAGTACATGAAAATAGCAAACCAAGGAGTGATTTAAAGATGAAAATGTGCCAGTGTGAGAGTCAGTGTCAAGTTAATGATGACCAATTGACCAATTAATACAGGGTACAATGATGGGTACGATGGTTACAGCCAGTTATGAATCTTAGCGCACCATGATACACAGCATCCAGCATCTGTAAGGTGCTTGCAGGAGTGTTCATGTAAATAATGTCACTGTAGTCTCTCTCTAAGGGATTTTAAACAACTGATAAGTTCATGGCAAAAACCAATGTTCCTGTTTTTAGTATTTTATATTGCTTTGTATTGTAGCTGTTTTTTGTTTCATTTTTATATAATTTCTTCTATTTACTTTTCATTTATATGCTTTTTGCATGATTGTCTATTGTTGTCTGTACCTCATCTGTGTTCTTTGTTTAAAACAGGTCTCTGTTGTAAATGAGACCTCGAGGTTCAGTGAGACTAACCTGTATAAATAAAGGTTGAATGAATAGGCAATGAGGGGAAGGAACGTAGCAGTTACAAGGCGTTTTCTAGTGTTCAGAATTAGACAAGGCCTATTTCTGAAAAAGAAACTCAATTTTACTTTCAATTTCTTTACCAAGTTTTTGACATGAGATTTAAAAGAGAGATGTGCATTGACCAAGGTTCCCAAGTATTTGTAAGAGTCGACAAACTCAATAGGAACACTCCAACAATTTTCAGTCAGGTCATCTGGACAGTTTCTTTTTTTTTTCTTTTTTTTTTGTGCTGAAATGCTTCACTTTCCATCCAGAAGGCTTCATCAGTCAAGGAAACACACAACACAAAACTGATTCTTCCCCCAACAGCTTACTCCAAAGTGGAACAAACCAGTTATGTTAGTGCTAAGATGGTCTCTTTGACACGCCCCCTTCTCCGGTGTCAGCCTTCTCCCTCGTTGACAGTCGTGTCAAACTGGTTCAAAACCAACAAAGGCCCTCTCCCTCGTTGAGTCATGTCAAACTGGTTCAAAACCAACAAAGTCCATGTTCAATAATCCAGGTATGCAATCCAACAATTTTCAGTCAGGTCATCAATAGAACACCATTTTTGATAAGATAGAAGGAAGGACTGCTGGTACCGACTTCCTGTTTGAAAACAACATCCCTTTGGATTTATCAGTACCAGTTTGAGCTGGAACAAATTTGACTGAATGATGTCAAATGCAGACTGTAAAAGAAGGAAAACCTTACTGTTTTAACTCAACAATAAACAGCTGTGTCGTCAGAATAGAAATGTAAGGATGTATCAGGAATGATCAGACCTACATTACTTATCTAGATTGTGAAGACGGTGGGTCCTAAGACTGAGCCTTGTGGTACACCATTGTTGATAGTTAAATATTTGGAAGAAGTACCATTATGTTGAACACACTGCCTCAGATCTGAGTGATAGTTAGAAAACCAACTGATAGTGTGGTCTGAGAAACCCAATTTCTGAGAGTTTGGCATAAAATGTCATGATCTACAGCTTCAAATTGTAACGATCTGCACCTGCCCTGCTCTGTGCAGATAGTTAATGACTCTCAGGTGCCACGTATTGTGTTTAATTAGAGACTCTCCTTTATATACTGTGCTCTCCTGCATCTCAGGCAGGGGAGCATTAGGTGCATTAGCTGCATCTTCACGGTCGTCTCCTAGTGCCTTGGTATTTCCTGTTTTTCCTACGAATGTAAGTAGTATCGCTGCCCCGACAGCATTATTTGTTATTAATGCCTTTTTGTGATTAAAACGCCCTTTTTGTAACCTTTGTTCGAGTGCTGCTTGCATTTGGGTCTCAACCACCGCCCGACCGTGACACAAATGCTTAAAAGAATAACTAGCGCTCCGTTCCCATCAACAACTATCTTTGTCAAGGTTTGTTAGTTTTGTCTAGGTGTTTGTTCAAGGTTTTTCTTTCATTTTGTGTGCCTTTTTTCTTAGTTTATTTCTTGATTTGTTTCTGATAGCCTTGGGTTTTATTCTCCATGCTCACTGGGTCCTTGTCTTCTGTATTAAATCTTCTCTAAACATTCACAAATTATTTCCAGCACTTTGTAAAAAATCTGCATTTCTCAGGTAGATTTGTTTTATGGAACACAAATATTCATTTAAAACTTTAAAGTTTGAAATAATTAACTTGGAATTTTCTTTATTTGTATAAGAAAGAACACTACAGTGTATAAATACTGTGTAACCATTTTGTTTAGCTCAAAGGCTTTTTTTTAGTTCAACTGAGAGTAAAGTACACACTGTGTCTGTGTTTGCCTGTTGCCAACCAGATTGTTTTAATGCAACCTGCTGGCGCACCTTCAAGTCACGTCCACTCTGTTACAGCAAACAAAAAGGCTTCTGACATTACAATGCAACTTTGGAGACATTAATGTGGTTAGTGACCATCACTGGACATATGGCATGTTTGATCATGTCCTTCTCTGCAGTAATAGATCCAGGATTGGATTAAATATGACATCTTGGAGTCTGGGACATCACACTTCACAGCCTCAACCTCTATCAA